GCGAAAGATCGTTCATAATCGTGTGGCGCATCTTGTTCTTCATCATCAGAGAAGATTTGGTCCAGGCCTCGCTCTCGCTCCTGATCGTTGTCTTCTCGGTGGCCACGCTTAAGACGTTTAAACTTTGGCTGCATAAAAGTTAGCTCAGTAGGTAGAAATGTACGGATGTAACAAACCTGCTGTGTTGTCTTTCTCTCCCATTCTGGATTTGCTTCTCCAATGAGATCCAAATCTTCGTCATCCAAACCCTCTTCTTCACGCTGCTCTCTGCGGCGCTTCTTTTCTCTGCGGCGACGTCTATTTCTCGCATCATCATCGTCCTCTTCATCTTCATCTACGATGAAACCTTCTCGAATCTAGTGACGTGTCAGTAATAATGCGCAAATGGTGATCGGGAAGGAGAGCTATGTACTGCACGAGCTGCCTCCTCATCGTCATCATCTTCTTCTTCACTTGAATCATCTTCCAAGCCTCCGTTCTGTCTTCGGGGTCCCGCAGAACGAGCTTCACCAGTTTCCTCGTCGAATTCCTCGTCATTCTCCTCTTCGTCAACCTCAACGTCACCGTCAATCAGATCGCGCATACTCATGATTGCGGTGTTCTTTGCTGGGGTTTTTTCGTAATTGTTAAGGAAAATACTGAAGGCAATAAGATCACAATTGCTGCATACAAGGCGATTGCGATAATTTCATGTAAGGAAATTGTAGTTGAAAGCTGACAATGACCTGAAAGAACCGCCTTTTGACAACTTTTTGGCAGCCTCTTAGTTCTCGCGACTGGGAGTTTATTAATTGTGGCTAGTGATGGATAGCCTCATATGTGAGGCTTAAATGGCGTACCTAACTTCCAATTTCCCCGGTCAGGTTCTAGCCACATGAGCCACACTGGAAGGGGATGGATGGCCAGATCCGCGTGGTAACTCCAGGGCTATCAGAGCAGAGAGTTTCGAACATTGTTTGTTGCTCTCACCAGAACTACAATTATTGATGACCATGAGCTTTGGGGAGATAGATATTAGCATCAGGATTGATATGCCTAGATATGTTCGTCTCAGCGAAAGATTGATATGACAATTACAGAATCTCAATCATTATGAGTGAGGTTATCTCGCTCCTTTCTCCCAGTCCAGATATAAAATCGATATCACAACTCCTTGTTGTACATATGTTTGGTGCATCTCTAACCAATACTGAAAGCTGCCTACCTACCTAGGTAGTATCTATGTACAATCTACTGGTATGCACAAGAAGCAGGGGGCAGAGGGAATGGGCTATCTGAAGGCTTCAAGTAGGTACAGATAGATACCCAGTAGTACCAGATTTCCAATAGAACTAAAACATTTCCTTGAAGAAGTAGGTATCGTTTCCTCATTACTACCTGCCCAAACACAACCATTTGTTTGGTTTGGCAAATGGATCTCCATTTACATGACACAACAGTAGCTACTATCGACCAGGTATATCTCCCATTGACTTGTATGAAATTAACGATCAGTGGGGTCATATAGTTAAGCACTCTGTATACACACAGCACAGAGCGCTTCATGCTTCAAATCTCCTGGTCTCCAACATTGGCCCCCAAAGCTGTCTTCACATTCTCATTCGTTCAAATGATAAACGCGCCTGCCAAATAATGCCCAATGCAAACTTCTCTGTTAGAAACTTAAATTGATGAGACAAGCACGAACGAATAGCTTCACCAGGGACGAAAGTACACACTCATGACATGGGCAATATTACTGTGAGTAAGTATTGTAAATATGGTATTATATACCTGCCTAGCTAGATAGTACGTGTTGGAACGGCCTATTAGATGAAATATCAACCCCTCTCTGAGAAGCATTTGCCCAATACAATACAATACAATCACAACCATTCAGGGGTAAAGACATTTTCCATTGATTTTTTAACACCACTTGGGTACTTTTTCATTGTTCCATTTCCTAAACAATATTTCCCAATTGAATTTCTCTTCAACCGCGCCTCCACGTTCTTATTACAGTAGTAGCTGCCATAGCGCCAAACCCAAACGACTGTCCCGCTTTCACTTTGTCCCTCCACCGAATCCCATAATCCTCGACGACAAGTGAACTATCTACCTTATTCGATCTCCTGATTATTTCGTCTACTTTGAATAATCATCCATAATAGGGGCTGAAGGAATATCTACCAAACACCCATCCTCTCACTCATCATCATTGCTTTCGATTTCTTGCTCATACGCTCGTGCAGATAGCACCTTTTTCAAGCGCCAACTGGGAAAATCGTCCCTAGAACTTTGCGCGATTCTAAAAATTCATCTCATCTCGACATCAGTCAATACTTCTAGCCTCTAGGCCATCATTACAAAATGTCAGACGGTATTGGCTCGGTGCGCACATTGAAGAGGAAGAATGTGAAAGGTCTAGCATTGAATGCACCCCCACCTCGTGCTGCGGCACCATCCGAGAGTGATATTCAGATTCCTGGTGGAGCTAGCAGTGAAAGTAGTAGACAGACCGCACAACTAGAGATTGGGATCGAATACAAGTTGGATCTGAAGAGGGAGGATTTAGAAGTTCTAAAAGACCTCGGCCATGGAAATGGAGGAACCGTTAGCAAAGTCAGACATATGGCTACAGGCACGGTCATGGCGAGAAAGGTATGCTGGCACAAACTCTCGATGACTCAAGCTGTAAACAATCGCTTATGCAAACATAGGTTATACATGTCGAAGCCAAAAAGGAAATGCGTCGTCGAATCGTTCGAGAGTTACAAATTATGTACGACTGTAATTCGGAATACATCGTCAACTTTTATGGTGCATTCTTGAGCGATAACAACGATGTCATCATGTGTATGGAATATATGGATGTTGGGTATGGTTGCTAGGAAAAGACTTCATGATTAGAACACTGAAGCTAACTTCTTGTCAGATCTTTAGATAGAATCTCGACACATTTCGGTCCTGTTCGAGTCGACGTACTTGGAAAAATCGCAGAAGCTACTCTCGGAGGTCTCACGTATCTTTACATCAAGCATCACATCATGCATCGAGATATTAAACCATCCAATATCCTGGTGAATTCGAAGGGTCAGATTAAGCTGTGTGATTTCGGTGTTTCAGGAGAATTGGTCAATTCAGTGGCAGACACCTTCGTTGGAACATCTACATATATGGCACCAGAGAGAATTCAAGGACAAAAATACACTGTCAAGTCTGATGTGTGGAGTTTTGGTCTCGCTATTATGGAGCTCGCAATTGGAAAGTTTCCATTCGATGCTAGTGAGCACTTATCTGATGGAGATGGAGCACCATCGGGTATCCTTGACCTTCTTCAACAAATTGTCTATGAGCCTGCGCCAAGGCTACCCAAGAGCGAAGCATTCCCTCAAATTCTTGAAGACATGATCCAGAAATGCATGTCCAAGACCCCAGAAGAGAGGCCAACCCCTCAAGAGCTTTATGTGAGTTTCAATTTCTAGCATCAATGTTAAGGTTTTATATACTAAAAATTGATAGGAGCGTGAACCTTTCGTCCAAGCTGCCAAGCGAACCCCCGTGGATCTTCGTGAGTGGGCCGTCAGTATGTTAGAAAGAGACAACCGCAAGTCACATCTTGCACCTCAATTATCGCCAGCGAGTAGAGATGTCCTACGCGGCGATGATTCACCTAATGCTTCGCAAACGCCTACATCAGGAGATATTCCTATCAAAAATGCCGATCCACGTTCCTCAGTAACCTCTCCGCAATACAACGAAAACCATAACCCAAGATCTCGCTCACCTACTAAGAATGGTAGTATTTCGGGTCGAGGAGGCGTAGCTTTCCACCCTAGTCTACCTATAAGAGGCAGCACCACCAACTCGATACCAAAACTTGCAGCACTGAACGCACCTGACCCACATGAGGGCAATGGTCCATCTAGCGCAAATACACCCAATTTTACCACCACGACCCTTCCAATGCGTCCAGCTCCAGCAGGTCCCTTACCACCACCACCCAGAAAACATTCCGAAGACAACAGCCATAAAGAAAGTCGGCGTCAGGCAACCTTTGGTAATGGCCTATATGGCTCAGGCTATGCAGCCCAGGGTTCATAATTCTAATCTCAACATAATGCATTGATATATTTGCACAATTTTTCTCATATCATTATGGAGCGAAGGCATCTTTTCGGAGCGTCGCATTCTCAAATGTGCAGCAAATTGATATAACAAGATTCTGGCCGGATCCAGCTAGCAGATACGTCGCCAAATCAGACATATATCTTGTCTGTGGATGTGGAAAATCTTCTCTGTAGCAAGTAGGGATCTGTTAATGTAGTGTAGATAGTTTGCTTTGTCTTCCGCGTGTTTAAATGGTGGGGGCATTGGAGGGAGGGAGGAAGCGATGCCTGAAATTTCAAAAGAAAGCGAAACATAGGAATAGGAATATAGTTAAATACTGCGGTACACAGACTCTTGGGACGTTGTTACAAAGCGTTTTATTATATCACTCGGAAGAATCTACTTGTTGTCTGTATTTGGCTTGGCCTTAATTGATAATGCGTGCTTGATGGTGAGGAGCTGATATACCTAATTCAATGCTTGAGACCTTGGCAAGAATGAAATTGAGTGATATGAATACGTAGGTAGTTGTTGTGTTCATCAAAAGTCCTTACATAATTGATTGTCTTGTAGTTGATCTTAGATATAACTTTACTGATAGTGGAGATATCTCATCTAGTGACAATGATTTGATAGCAATCATCCGTGATTCTCTATACTTTTGAAGTTAGTATTCTGCAGACTCGAATGGGCGGGTGCAAGACTCGCAATATCATCCATATCACCATACACTGACTCAAAACCTTTGCAATATATGCCGTGAATGAAATCAGAGTGATGCTGAAGCGCTAGTACTCTACGTGGGCAAGGTGGGGTTCCTGACCCCACCTACCCCCGCCACTTCTATCTTTGGCCGATGTCGATATATCCATTCTTGATCTCACAGATTTTTGATGAAAACCTAATATATGATGAGTATTCATTCTAAATACTTCTTGTCATTTGTTAGATTAGCGCCTAGATCTATTGTTGGGAGGAAATTGTTTTCGGTAGGGAACCTGGGAACGGAGATAAGGGACAAGGGGGTTTTGAGATCAAGTATACAGGCGAGGGTTGGTAGTAAGAGAGGTTTTGGTATGATGACTCGGATATCTGGTGTAGGTGGAGGCGCGGGAGGAGAAGGGGAAGGAAAGGGGGTGAGAAGATTTGCTCCTTTGGGGGAGGATGGGGAGGAGGGGAAGGAGGGTGTAAGGAAGTTGAAGGGAATTATTTTTGATATGGATGGGACTTTGTGGTGAGTTTTTTTCTTCTTTCTTACTATAGGCTCGGTTTTTGATACTTGAGGTTTTGGGGAAGGGAGCATTTCTAGTTGAAAGACTGGGTTTTTGAAAAAGGGGAAAGATAGGGGAGATCAAGTTTTTGCTCTTGTTTGAAGTTTTTGAAGTGGGCGATGTTGGATAGGAGGCGATGATTTCTTTTGTTTTTATCTCCCTAGAGGGCTTTTGAAGGCTTCGCTTGTTGGTGTTGGTGTCTAGAGTTCGAAAGAACTGTTAGATAGAAGTTTTGAGCTTAAAAGGGCAGTTTGCTGGGTAACAAGATTTGATATCTTCAGGAATATGTTGCAGAATCGCGATTTCACCATTGAGTAGTCACTCATGATGTTTGTTGATATTGGAAAATATCAAAATCTAGAGCAGGGTTATTCTCTTCTAGATAGCACTCTCACTACGCTGCTTGGTTATTTACACGCATCCATCAGACTGTTCACCTTTTTTCAATTATCACAGTGCTAATTTTTTTAACAGTGAACCTCAGACATATATGTATGTACCAGACAACAAGCCCTCTTTTGTATCTCACCATACTAGGGGCTAAATTATCCCTCCATTCTTGTTTGTTCCTAATCCCACCACAGGTTCGGCCAAATGCGCGATGCTCTAGGAATAGACAAATCTATCGATATCCTCGACCACATCTATTCTCTCCCTGTATCCGAACAAGAAGCAGCACATGAAAAAATCCGCGCCATAGAACGGGAAGCAATGCTAACCCAAGTTCCTCAACCCGGTATTTCCCTCCCTTCTCTTCAGCAAAATCCGAAAATACTAACCAACCCCCGCACCCCAGGCCTCCAAACCCTCTTCACCTACCTCTCCACCCTGACTTCACCCCTCCCCCTCGCAATCCTCACCCGCAACCATCCACCCCCCGTCCACCACCTCCTCACCACCCACCTCCCCCAAACCCCCTTCTCCCCTATCATCACCCGCGAATTCCGTCCTCCAAAACCCCATCCCGCTGGCATTCTCCACATCGCGAAAGAATGGAACGTCAATCCCAAAGATACGATTATGGTGGGCGATTCGATTGATGATATGAAAGCTGGGTTTGCGGCGGGTTCCGCTACGGTTTTGCTGGGGAATAGTGTGAATGAGGAGTTGTGGGAACATGAGTGTACGGATTTGGTGGTCAAGAGGTTGGATGAGTTGGTGGAGGTGTTGAAGGGGGGATTTGTGGGGAGGATGGAAAGGTAGATGGATGTTATTGCTGGAAAGGTAGTTTGGATGTTGGAATAGGAGTGAAATTGTAAATAAGTATCATCATGGTAGTAGAATTCTCGACCGGGGATTCCACTCAAAATACGCATACAAAGAATTTCGAACCAGCTTTTCAAAAAAAAATTCTTTCTTGCTTTCGTTCAAAGATGCAAATCAATAAGTTCAAGGCAATTTTGCTTCTTCAAATTAATATATATACGTTATGTGCCAAGGTATCCTAAAAACGTGAAACAACAACTCCCAAAACTCGAAGTATCATTCTTCAGCAACCAAACCCCTTATACTGAACATCTCATCCCCTAAATACATTACCAACATTCACTCCATCTTTCAACCCCACCCCTATTCATAAGCACCACTCCCCTTCTCATCCGCCGCCAACGCCGTCAAATTTGCGTTCCCCGTCTTAATCAACGTCTTCTCCTTGGGAATCGCATCCACAACCTCCTCACTCAACCCCAACGTATCCATCACGACCTGTTTCGGCGTCAACGCCAACCATTGCGCTACACTAATATCGCTAAAGACCGGTTGTTGCAACACTTCCAAAAATACTGCATCTTCCGTCCCGGTATTTTCGATATAGTGACTATTACTCGCGGGAATGTATCCCACATCTCCAGCCGTATAATCGAAGGTTCGGGAACTGCTGGGGGCGACGTAGATGGTGATGCGGGCGGATCCGGAGAGGAAGTAATTCCACTCGTCGGATGTGAGATGCCAGTGCATTTCGCGCATGGCGCCGGGTTGGATGGTGACGAGGGCGGCGGCGAAGTTGGAGGCGATGGGGAAGGTGGTTGTGTCGATTATTTTTACGGAACCCCCGGGGACGGTGTAGGGGGCTTGTTGGGAGAAGTGGTAGGTATATGAATCTTTTTGGGGGAGGGGACCAGCGGCGCTGGTTTGGTTTTGAGTGGAAATGTTGGCGGGAGCGGGTGTGCCGTTGAAGATGTATAGTTGATCTGAGGGGAGGTTGTCAAAGGAGGAGACCGGGGTTTGGAAGTTTTTAGAAAGTACGGATTTGGGGTTGCGAAGAAACATTTCGGAGACCAGGACTAAATCGGGGATTAGTTATTGTTATTTTGTAAGTGCTCAGTGGTGCATTCATGGACTCGAGACGGTTCTAAATGGAAACCACAGTCCGCCTCGGACATCGAAGAATGTGGCCTTACAAAGGAATGATTATACTTACAAGTGCCATCTTCCGAAAAGTCTCCCTCGTCGAAGATCAACAGGAATTCACAACCCTCATCCAGAGCTTGAATGGAATGTGGAACACCAGCTGGAAAGAACCACACGTCCCCTGCGCTAACATCGTCGATGAAGCTTTCACCCTTTTCATTAACAGCAGATAATCTTACGCTTCCTTTCAGCACCAACGACCATTCATTTGCTGTATGCCAATGCAACTCTCGGTATGCCCCTGGTGCGAGACGCATATCAACACCAGCCATCTCAGTCGCGGAAGGTAGCTGATCAGTGTTTTGCTGTCGTGCCCATCCTGATTTTTTACCACTGCCTAATCTATTACGAGATAAACTCATTGGCCATTGTGCTTGTGGTACATCACCACTGTCTGTTCCTGGTGGTGCAAAAAGATCAGGGTTTAACCTCTGATATTCATATGTTTCTACAATACTGTTAGATTTGCATTGATTCCAGGTGTTTCATTCAACTCACGTGATCCAGGGTCTGTTTGGCCTGTTGACCCTCGAATAGGTTGTGCATTCGGAACGCTATTGAAATCCAAATATAAACCTAGGTCTGCATCTGCCTCCTGACCATTCACCATTGGTGCGTTCGAGACGATGGCAGAATTCTCTCTAGACATAGGAGATGGTTTTGCAGCTTCGCCTAGTAATGATTTATCACCATAAAGTGATCCGGTGGCGGCAGTGACTGTAGGCACTGGTGCCGATACACCGGCAACAGCTACTGATTGTTCGCCATAACTCATCTGAGGTTTAGGGGCAGGAGCTGAAAGGACCATTGGAAGAAGCCCAGCCGCCACAAATGAACCGAGGAGGAGAATTATTGGATGCATTGTAAACGGATGTTTTATTATCTTTTGTCTGCTTAGAGAAAAGACGAAGAGGTATTCTCTGTCCTTATATATTCCTTGAAAGTAGGAACGAGATCAACTTCGTCATATAAGGATATCACAAATGTCTATCAACATGAGCCATGGCTAAATCGTCAGCAACATTATAAGTAGCTAGTTCAAAAAGTGCATGTGAACGGTAGATCTACACCAGTCAACTTCCGAAATCCCGATGAAGAAACCTGCTGAGGAGCAATTCGTATGCACTCCAAGTACACATAAAGATTGACTAATCAATCAATGGCGTTGAGGCGTGCCGTCTCTAGTTTGTTAGTCGTGAAAATACGCCGATTGACTTGGCAGTACCAAGGAAGCATGACAGTACATAGATATCTAGAAGTTTTCACGTGAAATCCAGAAGGAAGTGTGAAATCTTCAGAAGTTCCATCTACCGAACCGCCACTAGACGCTGTACATTGCTGGTTAATGTCTTAGTCCTAGTATCAATGAATCATGATCACATATATCTTGTTTCTGTCCAAACACCCGACTAGAAGAACGCTTGCTCAACTGTTCCCCACGGTTACCACAGGGGTTACTAAGACTAAGAAAGTTAAGCTTTCAGTGCCGGGCTACCGCAGTGCCGATCAGTAACATTCATGGCACTTGAAGCATGAAGATAAAAACAATGAAGATCATCGCTCGGGGACATTCCGTTAATTTCGGGATGAAGAAGGAAATGTTGTGTATACACTATCCCCTAGACCGCCATCTTAGGACTCCTTTACAACCCGTGCACTAGATAAAAACATTAATAACTTTACAAATAATATAATAAAATAAAGATTTTAATATTGAATTCAAAGAATAATAAATATTAATAAATAAATTAAATATATTAAATACAAATACATTTTTTCATTGAACAACAATTATAATATGATTTTATACTTATTATTATATTTTTTTATTATAAAATAAAAAACATTTATAAATGATTTATAATTAAAAACAAATATTAAACCGAATTTTCAACATTTATTTAAAAATATATAGGATATATATATGTTCTTATAAGATATAAAGAATAAATTATTAACTTATATTAAAATAATAAATGTTTAATAATTATCTCTAAAAAAGCGTTTTCAAATAATAAGAATCCTCAAAATTCATATGTTTTGATTAGTCAAAACATCTTTGTATAAACGAGGAGTCCTAAGATGGCGGTCTAGGGGATAAGCGAGGAGTCCTAAGATGGCGGTCTAGGGGATATACGATATATGCGAGATGCAGCATACCTCGCTGACCTCAATACCTTCCTACAATGGCAGCAGCTTCGTAATGAGTACCCCCGCAAATATAGACTAGGATCAGTGCAGGTACGAAAGCGTAAAGAGAAGCAATCTGATTACGCTGGTTGAGAAAACGTGGAGAGTAATCGCCTGCAGGACTTGGCATCCTTGAGTCGGGTTGTTGGTTCCACAAGCTTTGATTATGATTTGAAAGAGTTCTTGGAAGAATCAACGAAACTATGCAGAGTACCAAATCGCGAACTACTCACTGGGCTCCCGATGTGAAGGTCATTCACTCCTATGTTATCTCCAGGATGTATCAGTGTTGCCAATATTCATGAAACCCGAGTGAGGATTACGCGTAACGAAGAGATTGTTATAAGTATAGCTTGAACCTATTCGTTGGGAAATTTATGATTGGAAGAAACATGGTGTAACTGATAGGAGAGTTGTTGAATAAATTCGCGTATCGTGCCAAGCATTCATCCACCTGATCAACGTGCCCATCAATTTTATGCACGCACGATGCACAATGCTAGGATGACTTCACATTTACCCATCTGGACAAACGATGTAATTCATGTTATGACGACTACATTCATTCTTAGGCAATTGATCGCAACACTGAACGTTACACCACAACCACAACTTCACCTCCCAAATGTATTATGACGATTCAATGCAAGATGAGTCCGAAATCCCAAGCTTCTTCCGAGCTTCAAGGTCTGACATTCCGAGATCTTTTTCTGACAGAATTCTTATTGTGTTGAAATCCACAAAACTATCGTGTGAACTTGAGGGTATCTTGCAATCCAATCCAACTCCAGTGACCGAAATGAGCCAGGCCTCTCCCAATAACTCCACAATTATGATTTCATAAAAATATACTTGGGACTTCCTTCAACATTAGTCCAATACACTTCTAACCTCCTCTTCATAATTGGCAGCTTCGTCGAGTACTGGTGCAATACTAGGGTTTTCGTGTCCCCTCCAGTTCTTACGTCCCTGCAAATCTTTCGATGCGTCTAATTTGCCATTCTTCCTTTTCTCTACTTTGCGAATGGCATCTTCTAAGCCCCTAAATTCAATCGTATTAGTCCGTTGTTCTCGTGATCCAAATTTACCTACCTAGGTCCCGATGCCTTGGTGACGTAGCCTTGTCTTTCCAGCTCATCTGCCAATTCTACTTGGTGATTATCGAGTAGTGAAGTGTTGGGCACTACGATGAGGGGTACATCGACTCGGAGTGCATCCAGAATTGTTCCCGAACCTATAATATCTCAACATCAGTCACTTTCTTAATGCCCCGTGGTCGTTTGAGAATCTACTAACCTGCGTGTGAAATCACTACTCCTTCTAAACTCTCCCCTGTGCCATAAAATCCTCCTCTTTTACATTGTCGCATTTCGTGCCCTAATCCGTTACGGTCAAAATCGAACACTTCTACTTCGAGCCCAGATCCCTTCTCCGCTGGTATATTGTTTTTCCAGTATTCGGCATCGGGCCCAGCTTGTACTCTTAATTTCGTATATCCTTCCTTAGCTAGTGCCTGCAAAGTATGTGATGCGAACACTTCCTCGATGAGCTCTTTAAAAGTCGCAGTCGCGCCGACTGTAACGAAAGCGACCTTTGGCGGTGCGCCTCCTGAAGTTAATTCCATGACTGGATGATGGGAATAACAATTAGCTAATGATTGAGCTCTCTGTTAATAAGTATGGGTTTCTACCAGTACTATTAAAAGTACGATGTAGTTCATTGGATATCTCTGCTCCAATAATCGTGACTCTCGGATTAATTGATTGATCTGCTTCGGTACTTGGAGTTTTCCCGAAGTACGATTTAGGTGGGATGATAAACCACTAGTCTTTGATAGGTTAGGGCCAAATTGTTTAATTCGGGACGATTTCCATCTGGAGGTTCAAGATTCAGAAGAACCAGCCATAATCACCACAATGGCCACGGCCTTACAAAGTCTGCGTATGACAGTGCGATGCTGCTCATGCAGAAGTATTACCTCCAGATACACCAGTAAGCCAATCGCTCAACGGAGGCTATTTTCAATCACACCAAGACAATATAAAATCGATCCGAAATTTAAGGAACTTCAGGAAACCGAACCAGACGAGGATGAATTCATGGAAGAGATTGACGATTTGTTCGAGAATGCGGGTGCCCGACATGCAAATAATTTACCATCTTATGGATTTGACGAGGGTGTGAAGAAGAAGTTGAAGCCTACCTTTTTAAACATGGGAGATCCAGAACCGTTTGATGAGGACGACAGAGAGGATGACCACGATGATATCACGACTTTGGCGCATATGGAATTAGAACAGGTCAGAGAAATTAGACATTATAATAGGTTGGCCGCTTGGGAAATGCCAATGTTGAGCAGTGAGTTCATTTTACATTTACTTGAAGGGACAAACCCGGAACATGACTTTTTTTTCTAACAAGTAATATATAGAATTGGCAAAACCATTCGTGCCGCCTTCAGCTGAAACTCCTTTACGATTCAGATACACTTCATACATGGGCGAGCAACATCCAGCAGAAAAGAAAGTTGTTCTGGAATTCTGTCCTGCAGACATGCCAGGACTGACGGAAGTCCAAACGGACAAACTCAGAAAATTGGTTGGGCCAAGACTCAACCCAGAAACGGATATTGTTAAAATGAGTTGTGAAATGTACCCATCACAGGCCCAAAACAAGAGATATCTTGGTGACATGGTGGATTCATTATTGGCAGAAGCAAAGGTATGTGATATCATATCGTTGAGATGTTCAGGAACTAATATAAACAGACTGGCGATACTTTCGAAGATATTCCATTAAATACACGCCATCACGTTTTCAAAGTGAAGCCGAGATTCCCTGTAGAATGGAGATTAACAAAAGAGAGGAAGCAAGAACTAGCAGACTATCGCCAAAAGATGATGGAGACAGACTTGAATCGGGAACACATTGGTCAACTTGTGGATGGAGTTGAAACAATTCGACACAGACTGGCTAATCCGATAGCTAAAGAACCGGTTCCTGAAACTGTTGCAGCTGGCGGAAGGATAACCGGGAACAAGAAGGTTGGTGTCAAGAGGATAGTATAAAAGTCACTGCAAAATATGTAAGATACTGTATGTACAAATTAAGCCATCTAAATTGGAGGGGCTACTCTAGTTGATTGACATGTAGGGGATGAAGCAAGTGATACCCCCGGTTTGATGGCCCAATGTAGGCGTCGTCCGCACATCGGGTCGAACAATTTGTATTTCCGACTCGGAGCAATTCTTAAATATTAAAATGTGAAATATACCGAATTAGACTGTTTTCCGAGCTGCATGGCACATGTGAAATTGTAAATATGGTTGTAGGACCATATAATTGCCCCGACCCCGCTGATCTTTACGGCCGGATGAGGCAACCTGCCTCGGTTTAGATACCTAATGGAGAGGAGCACCAAGAGCTTCGAACTATATCAATTAGCCAGTTGGTCAACTTGCTTCGATTTTGTAATTGCTCTCCACACCTTTGAGATTAATCAGAAATCTGGATTCTCATTAAACATTTAAGTTCTTCAACAGTTCTTCAATCAAGCTCGACCATTAAAATACTCTCACAAGGTTCTTAGTCATAGAACAAACAATGTCGTCGATTAAGATAGCTCCATTCGAGCCTAGCTCACTCGAATCTATTCCCACCACAGTTAAGCTCCTACGAACTACCTTTCGTTCACAAAAAACGAAACCAATTGAATACCGTTTGAAGCAACTTCGCAAGCTCTATTGGGCCATTGTCGATAATAGTGATGCTCTTATCGAAGCAGAGAAGAGCGATCTCGGAAAACCCGCTTTCGAAACTGTTCTTACGGAAACAGAATGGATGAAAAATGATATTATATTTGTCTGCAAGAACTTGAAGAAATGGATGAAAGACCAAGCTGCTCCGGATATGGCCCTCCAAGATACCCTATTCAGCCCTAGGATTCGCAAGGAACCTTTAGGCACGGCGTTGGTCATCGGTGCATTCAACTTCCCAGTTCAATTGGCTTTAGGTCCATTTGTTGGAGCTATCGCTGCAGGATGTACAGCTGTATTGAAGCCCTCTGAGCAGTCACCTAAGACCGCCATGATTTTGAAGAAAATTATTGAAGAAAGTCTCGATCCAGAGGCATATACAGTGGTCAATGGAGCTGTTCCCGAGACGACAGCTTTGTTGAACGAGAAATGGGATAAAATCTTTTATACCGGAGGCGAAACAGTGGGAACCATTATTGCGAAGAAGGCTGCGGAAACCTTAACACCAGTTGCTTTGGAGCTTGGTGGTAAAAATCCAGCTATCATATCAAAGAATGCGGATCCTAATCTTGCGGCCAGGAGATTATTATGGGGTAAGATTCTTAATGCCGGACAGGTTTGCATTGGCCAAAACTATGTCATGGTAGAAAAGGAGATATTAGATGCTTTTATCGAGCAACTCGGAATTGCCTATAAGGAGTTCTTCCCTAATGGCGCCAAAGCAAGTCCCGATTATGGCCGAATTGTCAACAACAGGCAATTTTTACGAATCAAAAAGATGCTTGATAACACAGGAGGAAAGATCTTGCTTGGTGGGGAGTTGGATGAAGCCGAGAATTTCATCGCACCAACTGTGGTTTTGGTTGATAATCCAAACGATTCAATGTTGGTGGATGAATCTTTCGGTCCATTGATTCCTATCCTACCAGTTGATAGTCTTGATGAAGCTATCAACATTGCTCACGATATTCACTCAACTCCATTGGGTTTCTATCCATTTGGAACAAAAGAAGAAACTGATAAGAGTATGTATAATTTTCACATAGTGTTTGGCCCATTATTCGTGCATCTAAGAGGAGACGTTTCCTAGACGATGCTATCTTCTCAAGACCAGAGATCTGGACGACAGATGACATGATATTTGATCCCATATAAAGATAGTTCTGTGTTTGCAATCAACCTCATTCTCACAACCTCTGTCTATGACAATGTTCATGAAGAACAATGTCAAGTGAGAGAGACTTTCATAACTACTATACGCAACTCACCTATCCTTTAAAGTGCCTCACTAACATCTCAACCAGTGCTCGGCAGCATTACATCTGGCGGTGCTACTGTCAACGACGCTTTCTTCCACGGTTCAATACAAACTCTTCCATTCGGAGGTGTAGGAACTAGTGGAACTGGCTCCTATAGAGGCGAGCAATCCTTCCTCGCTTTCACCCATCTCCGTTCTGTTGTCACGACCCCTAGCTGGATCGAAAAAATGCTCAATGTTCGCTACCCACCATATACCGATGCCAAACTTGCCCAATTCCTCAAATCCAGTAGGCAGAAACCAAACTTCGATAGGGAAGGTAATCAGGTTAGAGGATTGAGTTATTGGCTGGGCTTTGTGACAAGTCTTGGTGGTGAGAGTGCTAAGAGTGTGCTTATTAGGTGGGCAGTTCTCGCTTTCATTACTTATGGATCGAAGAAAGTTTGGGATATGAAATTTAGTAGCGGGCTGCCTTCTTACCTGAAATGATTTGATTCTTTCTACTAGAGAGTCTTGTTTGATTGACGCACAGAAAACGGAACGAGTGGTCATTTTGCTTTACTTATCTCCTTTTAGCACCTTCGTTTCTGCTCAAGACCAAGTAGCTTAGCAAATTCAATTTCGCACAATCATTCTACACTCAAAGACGAACATTCTACTAACCCATCATTGGTGGCCTCAAAGATTGAACAAGTAATGTGATTTCCATCTTCAATGTAACTGTTGCATATCGCAATCTCTTGGAGATTCTTGGTAGTTACGTTTCTTGTCGGGAAGATGCAGGTAAAAAGACGAGCCAAGGAGCCTTGCGAGAACTGAAGAGGACTAGAGGTGGAAAATTGAGATTTTGTTGCATATCGACATTTCTTGGGAATTTAATCTTTGTTTTGAACTTTTGATGGCGTGGTGCCAAGGGAGTTTTATCGCCAAGCTGTGTGGTTTGTCTTTTTCTTCTTTGCCTGGCCAGGTCGATTGCGTCTGTGTGTTTGACTCGCGTCAAAGGGCTAATATTTTTCATTATTTCATTCATTCATTCATACAAATGAGATTGTGTTTTAAAATTTCACGTATTTGTAAAAAAAAAAAAATCACTTTTCAATTAGATGGACATCGGGTTAAGTATTTTAACAATGTATATGAAGTTATCCATCCATCAATTTTACACAACACAACCAACATCAAAATGCAGTACAACAAGACTCACTTAAACCCGATGCCAAGAGAAACCGGAACATCAACGCCAAGATCCATCATTGCGCAACGCATGCTTGCAGATTCCGGATGGTTACGGATGCGGACGCGGGTATCCGAGTCACACTAATGAAACTGCATTCGTGTCACCGAGTAGAAATTCTCGGGCGAGTGGAATGGAAATAGGAGGATTTGAGGAGGTATAAGGAATCGGGAGGAATAGGGGTTGGGGATGAGGGAGATGGTGTTTTTGTTGCACGTCGAACGATAAGTGTTGGGCTGGGCGAGAATGGATCGTGGGTTTGAGTTTGAGAGTGGATGAGGGTCAGTGGGCTGGACGAGATTTGGAGGAGTCTTGTTTTTTGAATTGAAATATGGGAGGTTTGGTGGGATGCGATGGTTGGTATTCTCTTCATGGGCGACGTGTTTGTATGGTTATTGATTTTTTGCTTCGTTCTGGGTTTTGATATTTAGAGTGTGTATGGCATGTTTATAACAAGGTTCTTGATCAGGAAGTCCTGAGAGGAAGTCGAGACCCGAGAAAGAGCGGCGTCGAGTTCAAATGGCAGCATTGGATATTTGGAAATAAGGGCATCAAAAGCTGACGAGAGACTGTCTATTGGATGATGTCGCTATTTGAAAATTTACAGGGCCGAAAAGTCATGCTCCATATTTGATTTGAAATCATTTACTGGGAAGAAAGATGCTTGTTCGTGTACTCGAGTTGTCTATTTTGGCGGAGAATAGCTTCTTATTTCAGTACGACTATGGTCGAGGAAAAGCTTCCAGAGTCTCTCGGAATGACAGTAAGTTTCTGTGAATGCAATTTCTCTTCACTTCTCATATGCTTTCTTGTATAGAGTCTTTGGGTAGATGAGCTCACGTCGAGTTTGATATGTGGCAGAGAATCTAGGTTTCTATCAAAGGTCGGATGGTTCATCTCAGAAGACATGGGATGATGAATTCTATATACAAGTTTGGACGAAGATGAGAAAGGCTTGCACCCTTCTATGGCGTGCTATGAAAGCTTGAGCAACCCATGTCGACTGCAATCGTTCATATGCTAAGAACTGGCTGGAATAGAAGAATACAGAAAGCAAAAGCTGTTCCTTGGGAACAACTTGGGAGTGGTGCCATAAAGTCAAAATCAATGCTTTTTACAGAAATAAATGAGAGGAGTTCGACCAATGGGTGACGAAAAAAACGAGTCTAGAACTGGTCATTCGGAAGAAGATAGTAATGCGGGGTTTGAGTGAATATCAATTTTGGAAACCGAGGGGTAATTGAACATGCTTCCATCCTTCTTCTGATCCCAATCCTCTACTAAATCTGACCACCGCCGACACTCTAAGAATTTATGGATCTTGATCATTAGGCTGCATTGGTGAGCATATTGATCGAAGTCTCCAGGTCTCTATTGATGTTCCACTATACACTATCTTCTACATATTTCGTTGTTTCTCAAGTGCCTTGAGAATTTTAGCAGTTCATTGCAACCATTTTCGATCTTTTGCGGTCAAAATCATCTATTCGCTGCTCAGTTTATCTGAAATCTGCAATTACTATCAAAACATGCCTGATGTACTTGGTGCGGGGCTTCGGTGGCTCAGAGGGGAGAGAGGGAAATGTTTCAAGGGGCCTATAGAAGCTTGCGTAGGGCCAGATGTGATTGAGAGCAGGTACGCATCTTGATTATGTTTAGAATCATTTGCCTCTATTTGAATAATCAAAATCAATGGACCTATCTTGTTGGCTTCTTCCCTATCTGTCAATACTTTCGCTGGTAATTTCTTTGCAGGGAGTTACATCAAATGGCTCGAAATGTGGTATTGGAGAGCGATAGTGAAGAAGAACGTCTCAATAATCGTGCCGCCAGGTTGAAAAGACACCGAGAGAGGGTCAAACATCATACCCCTCCGGACAAATACAGCCCAGAAGGTCCATCTAGAAGTGGTACATTGATTGATTATGGCAAGACGGGTGGATATCAGAGGTCAATATGGCTTAAGGAAGGAGATCATTCGTCAGATTCAGATCGAATACCTAAGCATGACTCCCCTCTGGTGACTTTGAAAAATATAAGGAATAGTTCTGATTACCCAAATGCCAATCTGGGACCAAGCGGAAAACCATGGGGTCAACAAAGTTCTTTTTCACAGTCAGCCCCAGATGACTATTTAATACCTTACAAGAGTTATGGAAATCCACATGTGGGAAGTCCAAGAGAAGCTGCTGAATTATTGACATCGGCCAATTCCTCTGAATATGTGCCTCGCGTAGATAGAAGTGCACACGAGAGAATCAATCGACGTGGACCTCTACATTCCAACCATCGACCACCATCGCCTGGTTTAAAATTTGACCCTGTACGAGACGCCGCTGCACAAAATGATGCCGTCTCTCATCGCCATTCAAACTACGAAGCACCTATCTCACCTCGCGTCATTCCCACAAGAAAGCCTGTACCACAGCCTTATTTTCAGGATCCATCGGTAGTAAGAAAAGAAGCCAGAGACTTGAATACTAAACGCGTAGCAGAACAAGCCATAATCAATCGTCGTAATGAGGAAGAGATTCTTCGCCAACGAAGAGAGAGAAAAATTTCGAACAGCCCAGAAGAGAGTGAAGAATCACATGAAAATTACGATGATACACCCAGAGGACGACGTCGATATGAAGAGGATAAGAGACTCTTCAAGGAGCACCTAGCACGTCAAAGAAAAGATAAACTACTACCTCCCCCCTTTACCTCCCAAGCTACCTCTAAGTCTTGACCGACATCGAAGTCCACCATCCAGATCCGCCACATTACCCCCTGAATCTCCGGTTCCATTTCGACCTGTATTGCTGATGGAGGACAACGAACCTCACAATTCCTGGCTCAGCCATATAAGATCCCCACCAGATCCTCGCACGAGTATATTCATGCCTCCACCACGACGCAATACCGTCTCCTCCGATCCATGGGAAAACAATCCCCGAGCTCCACCCTACCCCGTCACCCCTCACAATTACCACCTCAACGGATACAACAATCAAAATGATGTTCAAAAACGTGCAGTACATGATGCTTTCAAAGATGTGATGCTACATGGACATGAGAGAATAGCAGGTCCTACGCCTCCTACTTTCAGGAGTTCGTATCCCGATGCAATGGAATTGTCGGGTGTTAGTCCAGAGATACGTAGGGATGGGATGAATAGACATACGGCGAGTGGAAATGAGATACGTGGTGATAGGTCACAGAGGCCTGAATTTGCGGTAAGAATAGATATGGGTGTATACCGTCCTGCCATGACTAGGGAATTGCCAGAGAAACTTGCAGACGGTGGTATAATGGGTGTTGAGAGATTAGAGGTAAATGGTGAAGGTAGACGAATAGAGGCAATTGCGGATCGAAGAAGAGAGAGACCAGTCCCAGAGATTCGTGTTCAGCATCCTACTCCCAGGTGCAAGTCAGCGGGAGCCACATGGTGTGAATATTGGGAGGACGAGAAGGAGTGCGGAGACGGAGCGATCGGTAGCGCCGAGATCGGATTATGGAGAGCGTATAAAGCATGAAAAGCATAGAAGACATGAGAAGCATTAGGAAAGTATAGATGGGGGACGCTATTTTAAAGGAGTAGATGGAAAACGGGAGAAAAGGAAGTGGTGGAGAAGAAGATCATGATTGTGTTGTGGAAAGATGGTGAGTTGAAGTTGGGCATGTTTGTTTCACGAGCTGGTTTTTCATTGAATATTGAATACGGAATAGGATTCGGCGTAAATAGTATCTCAATAATTATATTGCCTTTGGGTGTCGAAAGATAGGTAGTATAGGTAAATACATAGTTCAAGCTTTTTAATATTAGGAATAAATATGGATACATGCAAGGTTGAGATGTTGAGATGTCAAGAATGTTCACGTAGTCTACAACCCTCATAATGACAAGTAGAGAAAAGCCCATCCGGTGTAGGATCGTAGATCAAGGCTTAGCTCAATATGACTCTAGAGTGAAAAGCAAAGAGAGGCCTGTGCTAGGAAAGTCGAGTAGAGAAGTTAGCAACAATCAAACTCGACGACGATAGGTTCGGTAATTGGCAACGAGAGTACAGATTTACGGGATAAATCCAAATCCAAGATACAAACAAGACCACACTTGTACCACACCTATCTGTTCCTTGTAGCGTTTGAAATTATCTAAAGCAAGTCAGAGAATGAGACCATACCACCTGAATATCAACCTTCAGTCGAGGTTCCTAGAGAAGGCACACTTGAAGATATACGCTGAATCTCCCTTTATTTCTCGAAAATATCTTGAGACTTATCTATCAAATATACTACAATCTCATTTGAAATATTCGAAGAAGGAGGTGGCAAATGAGCTCCTGGAAAGGAGGAGTTTGAAATATAACTTTGGGTCTTCTTCAACAGTCGACCAAATAGTTTCAAAATTCCACGGTTATTCTCTAGTATAATACAAGTTGATCGATGGCCAGTAGTGGAGGTGACAGGAGGGTATTTGAAGAATCAATTGATTTGATATGAAGCAACCAAATCAGATCTACGATATCGCTGTCACTTCAAAACAGCTTCCACTGTACTTCTCCATTGAACAGAGAGAGTGTATAGCATATACTTAAAACCAAAAGAGAGATTGGGATACATAGAAACTTCGAGTCTGGGCGAAGAAGGGAATTCAATATACCGTCAACATATCTCCATCCCCAACAAAACAGCACACAAGCCGATAAATCACCAATCAACCTATCCATTCCATCGAACCATTTGCCCCAGAATAACCCCAATACAAATCTCCTCCCCTCTCCATCAAATACTCTCCTCGCCATCGAAACTCGGGACTCTCTCCTCAACAAGCGCGTCACCTCCAGCTATACCCCTCCCACCACTCTCCAAATCCATCATTCTAATCGTATTCCCATCCGCCGGTACCACTCGCTCTCGATTCTCATCTCCATTCCTATCTCCACCAGCACGCAAAAATAGACCGCGAATAGCAGACATGATTCGATTCAAGGAAGTCTCGACCCTGCAAGCGATAATCCACAGGTCGTCTCTGAAATTTGGGAGAAGGAGAAAGGCTAGGAGCTTGATTTGGGGTGGAATGTTAGCGCGGTGTATCTTATAGATATGGATATAATTTAGTACGAAACAGAGGCAGGTTTGGTATTCACGGTATTTCCAGTGACGACTCATAAGCTACACATACATGCATGTGTGTGCACTTACCAAAATCGTAAAAAGGATGAGAATAAATACCAAACTGGCCCCCTGGATAGTATTGAGATATGGGTTCATGATGACGAATGTTTGTATGTTATTGCTGAGTGGCCGATTCTTTCGCGAAGTTTTCGAATCGAGGGTTCTTCGAAAGAGTGTGGGTTGTTTACTTGATTCTGTGCCTGTGCATTTTTTCAAGTGCTAATCTATATACATACTACCTATCCAGGTACCTCAATTTTCCTCCATAGAAATCAGAATAGCTAGGCCGGGAATTAGAAATCAAAAGATCGCGCTGTTTTTACCGCTTCTCTGATATACACTCGCGTTCTTTGAATACCTAGGAACGAACTCCACAGTAAGTAATTTTTCAGTACGGCCATGTACAAGGCTGGATATGTGTCAACTATCGATTTAGAATATTAAAAACTTGATTTAACTATACATATCCCCAGATTGTATTTACTCTTTTGTATATCTAGTTAGTCCATAGTCAAGATATTAACAATGCTAGATTACTGATAACTCGTAAAAAATCTCGCTTCGAAGAGGGGGGTTTCTTCGAAGCGAGATTTTTTGGTTTGAAGAGGAACAACTTTGTACACTTGGTATGCTTGTGATGCTTATAATTCATATATTGACTTGATTTCTAGATAACTAGTCATTTGAATCGAATCAAAGTTTGAAGGATTTCATATAATTACAGTTTTTTGTTTTGAATCAAAAGTTACACTTATTATGAATAAGAATATAAAAGTAATGATAGTCCACTATTCTTTATACAAAAAACCACCAAAAAGATCAAAACTTTACACCACACATGAATGAGTATCTATATTACAATAGAACCAACTGATTATACACATAACAAAGAACCCCATATAACTTCATACAACTCAGCTTTAGAATTTAAAGGTGATATCAATCCTATAAGATTAACTCCCCAGATCCAAGATCTAAAGAATCGGAAACCAGGAATCAAAATACGGAAGTTTGTTGGTCTTGCGCTGTCCTGCCCTGCTGTGTTGAGATTATCCGTATCTATAGTAGAATAGTAGAATAGTAAATATTCACTATAATTCTACCGACCTCTCTACCTCCCTAGAAATACCAGAATCCAAGTTGTAAGTTGATATTCTTTTTACGGACTTAAAGAGTCCCAGAAAAGGTATATACAATTGTATATTGAGTCTTGAGTATTTGATAAAGAAAGAACATCCATACTCCTTCAAAAAGCAAAGCGTAAAGTCGATATTACAGTGCCTGGGTTGAGTAAAATCAAAGGAATACTAGACTCTTCTGTTGTATGTTGTACGTAATAGATAGATAGATACTTGTCTCTCATATCTCATCTAGTATCTAGCAACAACATCTGAATTTTCATCTTTTCAACAGTACTATAGTGAGAAAATTTCACTCGGGTTCGATGTCGTTAGTTATGGAATTATCAAGATCGCTGCTTACTTCTCTTTTCACTTGGATGGTGTTTTCAAAGCCCGGTAGGTAGGTAGCTACTGGATTCTAATCGGAAGAGGTGTGTGTATAAGTATAAATATAAATACTGTTACGATTACATACTAGAGGATATCGATAGAGGTCCAATAACTAGAATAAGAAAGTTAAAGAGAGAAAAGAGTCCTGAGGAATCTTTATATCTCTTATATAATAATAATCGCTTAGTTCAAGCTAGTCTTGAATTAAGGTATATGTAATGAGTAATCATAATTATATTCTAGAATATTCAAGAACATATAGTACTAGTCAACAGTCATTAATTTAAACGTCTTTTCATACTAAAACTTATTATTTATGAGTATGAGTATTTTCATAAATAATGATATAATATAAAATTTTCCACATTTTCTATTTTATTTATAATAGAAATTTAATAAAAACAAAAACAAAAATTTTCAGATTTATTTTGTTTAATTAAATTATAAAAACATAAAATTATAATCGTAAAAGAACAAAAAGATTTACTAGTAAATCAAACGAAAATCAAGTAAACTTTTTAATATTTCAATTTAATTAAAAAAAATTTTTTATTAAAAACTTCTTAGAATCTTAAAATGTTGAAAATATTTATTATCAATATATGAAAATAAAGTTTATAGAAATTTGAATAATATATCATAAGAATTTTTATACATGAAAATGTAATAAACCATCGATTTTTAATATGAAAATGAGTTTCGACTAATAGTAGTTGACATTAACTGTACATACATATACTAACCATGAACCATTCCTAGATTATCAAAAAAAACAACTACCTCCGCATTATTTTCCTGAAAATACAATTCCCACTTCCACGATTCTACATATATTATTTTCCATCCTCTCAATCAACAAACATCTTCTACCATTCGCTATTCCCCTTTCAAGAAAAAGTATCGAAAGGGTTATACTCAATGCTTAAATATTCCCACCACACATACACAAACACAAACAAAAAACATCATACTGAAACCACACAACCTCTCAAATCAACACGAGAGAACTTGTGATACGAGAATGCTCAGAATAACCACCACTTCTCAAACGAACCTAGTCCTTTCGTTAAGTGCAAATGCTCAGGATATCCATATCCAATGGACTGACTGCATGATGGCCACTCTAAATCGATGTATAGCAAGCTTTCCAAACCCCAAATTGCCATCTGCACATCAACAAGGTTAGGAGTCTCAAGGGTTGAATGCTCAATTTTGGTTCCAATTCCAAGCGGGGAAAGAGATCTTGATTCTTTTGGAGAAAAGAAGAAAGATGAGAGAGAGAGAATGACATTGTGGGGAATGTAGAATAGGAAAATAAGTAAGCTAAAGCCTAGCTTTGTGAGGAAGGAATCATCAAGCAAGCAGAGAGCGCAAGTGAGCAAAGCAAGCAATCACGAAAGTGGAGAAAAGACTTAGTTTTAAAGTTTTATATTGTAAAAGAGCACATCTATAAGTCTAAAGTTTTCCCATTGCTATCATTACAATCATCCATCCATCCAGATATCCAACTCCAAGACGTTAAATTCAACCCATACCAGTCTATAATCCTCTCCAATGCAGGCATATAATCAATGATTCACGACTCATCACACCTCAAATTTATTGAGGAGCGACAATGACACCTCTGTATCTCATCTTTCCATCCTCGAGTTTCTTCATGGCTTCTTGGATACCCTCCTCAGTCATTGGGAATTGTTCAATGATTGGCTTGATCTCGTGTTGAGCGGCGAAAGCAACCATATCTCTGTGGACTTGTCTGGCAGCGACCAAGGAACCTTGAATCTTGAACTCGTTCAGGATGATTGGCATGTATGGGATCTTCATATCTTCGAAAGAAACAGTCAATG